AAATGTGTAATTTTATACGATTTAGGTTATAATGTACCAATATTTTTAGAGCAGTCGCTCTAATCATTCATAATATAGATTTATAACTAAACGTGATGATTTATTAAATAATCACATATATCTTATAAAAAATAATTAAAGAAAAAGGTGGTCATTTGATCTAAACTAAGAAAAATAAATTTGTGATCTAGTGCATAAAACAAATTGACTAAACATGTCTCTACAAACTTTACCATACATAAAACCAAAAATTAATAATTTGTAGTTTGTGTGTATAGGACTGAAAGTGGAGTGGCCAGAGCTAAATGGAGTAAGTGGAGTCGAAGCAAAGAGAAAGATTGAAAGGGACAATCCCCACGTGACTGCTTTTATATATCCTCAAAATGTCTATCTACCAGCCATCAATTGTTGTAACCGTGTTATCCTCAAAGTTCCAAGCAACAATTGCCCCAACGGACCGGTCCTCAATCGTCCTAAGGTCGGATGATCTACTATATGATATTGTTCCTTTTTAATAATGCAGATTTATAATAAGCTTCAATAAGGTTTAAACTGTGTCTTCTTTTGAACTATTTTCTTGAATAAAATAGAAATATAATACCTATTTCTATGATATAATCTTATGTCCTCAAGTTAATATATTTTTCATACCGAACTAGATTGATAACAATAAATAGTTCAAAACGAGAAACAATTTAAACCAAGTGAACAATACAAAATACCAAGTCGCGAACCACATTTTAGCCTCGAACAATGTCCAGTAGATTGATAACAATAAGCAATGATATGTTGTTTTCAGTGTAAAAACTTCATCAGCATGGCCTAAGACTAGTTTTTAGTTAAAATTTCTTGAGACAAGCTCGGTTGCAGAAGTAGCTACTAACACTCCAGCCAAAAATTAATAGCATTACTAAAGTTAATTATTGACAAAAAAAGACTTTGTTCCACAACAATAGATGTGGCTGTGACACAATGTGTCAGTAGTAACTCATGTATTGTAAAAAGGTAAACATAAAATAACTTAGAAATGATTTCGGAGCTACATCCAAATATTAATTGCAAATAATACAATCTCCACTTGATTAGTGGATGCGTAGTGTTGAAATAGAAACTTTGCAGTGAAGATG